GAAGGATATTATCACTACTTCCACTTTGCCGTCAGAACATTGCTTGTAATCATGAAATTTTGACAAGGTTAACATCATCATCATCATCATCATCATCATCATCATCATTATTCCACCATTCTTAATATATTTTGGCCAACTCAACCTTCATAGTTTTCATTATCCTTTCCCTTACAGTATTATCCTTTGTCTCTCATCAAGCAACTTATAGATATATACCCATACAGAAAATTCACAGGAGAATGCACAAGAAATATAAAATATTTATTCGGTTACACTAAATATACAATGCCTAAAGCAATGGCAGTAAAAAAAAACCCCACATAATAATTTTAATCTTGGTCATGCAATCAAACACATTGACACATAAAAGAAGTTGGGGTCTCACTGATAGAGCAACATAAATATAAGCATATTATACAGCATAACTTTTTCTTTCTTTTAATAAATAGGAATAGAAATAAATCTGATTGTTATTGGGAAGTTTGTCTCACAGCTTGATAGCTAGAAAATTACACTGCTTTCCAACATTTACATTCCTGCAATATATTGGTCAATTTTCATCATTCAACAACACAGCAAGACAACTGCAACTTAGGAAAAATATGGAATATGAATATTTCAAAAGCATTCCAATAATTTAAGATACTATGTTTAATGATGCAAATACTTGATTTAAAAAATTAACTTCTGAGAACTCCTGAGTGGCAAAAGGGGTTCTTACATCAACAGCTATATTTTGATTACTTATGTAAGCACTGCTTGCTAAAACTGATCAGTTCTATTTCCTCTTCTACTTCTTACTCTTCAGTGTAGCTTAGAAGACAGAAAAATTACCAAACAACCTTCTATTTCTATTAGTTTCTCTGCCTCAGTACTGGTGGACTGAAAGTAAAAAAGAGTAATATCTGTTCCACTTACAAAATGTTCCCACTTTTATTTGGAAGCAATTCTCACTTACCACAGGTGATCAAGTAAGACGCTATTTATAGGCTTTCATTAATCTATTAAAAATTAGGGTTCAGTTATACCGCTATATGCTACTCTATGCTGCTGGTATTAATTCATGAACAGTGCAATGTAGCATTTGAAAGCTTAAACAATATGTTAGAGCAATGGTCACTTTGGATAATTAAAATTAAGCCCAGTTATGACAAGACCAACACACCTGTATCATCTCCATCATTGCTTCAGTGATAACATCTTTTTCTATAAGATGTTCCATTAGTTCCTTCAACACTAGCTGCTTTGCTAGAGATACACGGTTCTTTTTGAGCACCTCTTGGTGACATTTCTGCATGCCACATGCACCCAGCATCCTAGAAATAAAACAGAGCAAATCTAAATGCAAATATCACACCTACTCTTCACATCTTGCATAATGTTTAAAACCTACAACAAGCACATAACAGGCAATCGAATATTTAATTTAGTTCACCAGTTTTGTCTGGAGTGTAATTCCAAATATCCAGTGGCTGTAATAGGGATGATTTCTAATTTGTTTTAAATATCCAAATATATCTTTAAGGATTAGAATACTGAGAGTGCAGACTCTGGCAAAATTATGCAGTCCTACAATGGAGCAAGATCAAGGTCAAAATAGGTATGAGACCATTTCTTGCAGCAGAGTACTATATCCAGCAAAGTTTGTGAACTATAAATATGCACATATATTTTCTATTACTTCTTAATAGGGTAGGCTTAATAGGCAATTATCTCATCTTAAACACTAGGTTGCTCCAATAAACCAACAGTTACCATACAAGTGCAAATCAGCTACTAAAACATTTCACAGCAAACAGTGAGATATGTTATTACCTGACAATGTTAGACGAATAAGTCAATTCAAAAAGCACAAGTAGAATGGTGACTTGAAATGTCGGTCATAGCTTCTCTCTTTCCCCCGAAAAATAATTTTACGTTTGGTGATTTAAGTCAGCATCAAACCAACATAGCTTATAGTTGGTTATACTTTTTAATAGAGTGCTTCACTTCAAGGTCCCTCAGACAACAGTAAAAAGCACACCAAAAACAGCCAACAACTTCAGGCAATGGGACCAAGTTTCCTTCACAGCTTTCCCTTTCCAAACTGGTGATTTCTATTGAAAAGTAGAATATTATAAATATATATATTCTGCTATTTATTTTCTATGTTTATATTCTGCCAGAGTCAACAAACATTACTCTAAGCAGGTACGTCATTCTATACATTCATAACAATTATACAAGAATACTTAAATACCCTCACACATTAGCAAGGTGCACTTGTTAACAGTATTTGAAAGCCACACCTTCATTTTCAAAATAAACCCTAGCAAGGTAATGAGTGTTACACCATAGCAAATATGTATGAATGGTGCATTCATGGCTTTATGTAATCCAGATACAGATCTTGCTGAATTCATTTTCATTTTACAGAGACCATGCAAAACTCCACTCATATAATAACTGGCATCCATGACAGTGCTATGACGGATCTATGCAACTATTATTCTGCAATCTAGATAAACAAAAAGGAGCTTTAATTTCGTGCACAGGGCTATGCAGAAAAAAGAAAAAAAACTCCAATGCGATTCAAGTCCAACGATATTTTGTTAACTATAGAATTTCTAGAGCTAATTTTTGAATTAGAACATCCCTTCATGCAAATCCTGTCTCCAATCTCTCCTAGGTATGAACTTTTAGTCCTCAGGTGACCTCCTAAAGAAAGTCACTTTCTCCCTCTCGCTCCACTTGCACTTAGAGGGAGAGGAGAAACTCAAGTGATGGGACTGCTGCACAAATTACAGCTGAACACTGAACACGGAAGAAGGGTTTCAGAAACGTAACGTGCAACTCTCATCCAGGCTTCTGCAGGCTCAGTCGAAAACTAACGGCTGAGAAAGATAAAAGGCGAGGGGAGACAGGGTAGGAGGACTGAGAGAGGCAAGCAAAAATGCCCAGGAGGAAACGTCAAGGGCCCAAGCGGAAGCTCGACCCCCCAGGCCAACCCCACCCTCCCACTGCAGCGCAGAGCCGGCCAGAGCGGGCGGTCCTTCTGCTCCATCCCTGCCCTGCAGACGGGAGGCTTTCCCAAATTCCCTCGATCTAAATTCTACCTGCTCCACTCCCGTCCCTTTGGCTTCGGACCCTGCCTAAGAAGCGCGACGGGAAAGCCACCGCCAGCTACGCCCGTCGCGTCCCAGTCCTCTCTTGGCAGCGTCAGCCGCGCTAGGCCCCAGGCGCAAAGGCGCTTTCCCGCTCAAATTCCTCGGGTTTCGTCCAGCAGGAAAGAAAAGAGGCGAGCATCCCTGGTCACGTGGGCGCACTCCTTCTCCTGCCGTTTGTGCGCCTGCGCAATGGGGAGGTGCGCGCGCACTCTTTCCTTTCTCGGGACGAGAGAAAAGATCTCCAGGCTTAGTTTGCGGAGTTTAGGGTTCCTCTTGCTCTACGTCCAGGCGCCGGTTGTTTTCACCGATTCATCCAATCAGCGGACTGTTCAATTTGCCTCTCTTGCGACTGTGTCCCTTGTGAAAAAGATCTTCTTGTGGCTTTCTTGCCCGTCCTTCCCTAGGGTACATTATTTTAACTGAGTTAAAACAAGACTGGAGAAGCTTATTGCGCCAGATGCCGCTGAACTACAACTCCCAGCAGCCTCAGCTAGCTGGGCCAATAGTGAGGGGTGCTGGGAGTTGTAGTTCATCGGCATCTGGCAATCTCACAGGATAGCGATTACTCCTGTCAGACAGTGAGCCACTCCATCTGTGAAACGGGAGATTGGTGTTTATGTTGTTAGCTGGTTGCTACCCATGGTTAATTAAGCCATGATATTGAAGTAATTGGCAGAGGAATTGCAATATATGGAACCATCAATTAACCATACTAATTGATTGATTATGTACCCACAAGTCTGTGTTGACTCTTAGCAACCACATAATAACTTCTCCACGATGATCTGTCCCTAACCTGGTCCTTCAAGTCTTCCAAAAGTGTATCCCTTGCAACTTAACTGAATCCATCCACCTTACTGCTGTCTTCTCTTCTCCTCTTTCCTTCCACCTTTCTCAGCATTACAGCCTTCTCCAGAGAGCTAGTTTTACCATTTTCATTACTATGGTTGTAAACCAGCAATTATAGTTTAGCATGTTGCATGAACTGTACCGATTGTTTTGTTCAGTAAATAGCTTTGTTTCCACTCACTCTTTAGGTAATACAATGTTCTGGCTCCATTTATATGAAAGCCACCACATTTTCCTTACTTTTTCTCATTCTTGACCAGTACTAGAAAGATGACATGCCGATAAATAAGGAATCCCTTTAACAGTTCAGTCAGTAGGCAACAGCACCAGTCCAACCTTGTCTAGGTGTGGAAGCTAAACAGAGTCCAGAAAAAAATTCCAAGTCTGTAGATTAGATTGGGTTGGCAGTAAACATTGGTGAAGAATGCAATGACAAACTACATTCATACTGTTGTCAAGCAAACTACATGGACTTGTCCATGAAATCAAAAATTGACCTTGACCTGAATGAGACTTCTTATTACTTTAATGAGTTGTAAAAAATATATTTTTCTCTAAAAGCCACTGGGAATCAATTTATACAAGGGAAAGTATAGCTGGATAGCTACTACTTCCTGATTATAGCTTTGTGAATTCTTTAGAAGGAAAAGATTTAATTAAAGTAAATGAATTAATTGCTTTGATAGTTGTTTTAATTAATCTGAAATGTAATTGGCAAAGGGCGGCTCCTTCTTTCCAAGCTGCTAATATTTTTTGCACAGAATAAGAACAATTATGTAGCATTTAATTCATTAAATTAGCATTAATGAATTCTGATCACTAGGTAAGCAGATGGACTGCCTACCAAGTGAATCTGTATCTGATGTGGATTCCATCCACATGGAATTCCATAGAAACTCTCCATTGAGCAAAGATAGGCATGTATTTACAGGAAAATCCATTACAGGGTGGTCAACTTGAAGTGAGTGTTGGATCTTTGACCTCTTCCCTCCCACTCAGGGCTGTTTCTTTCCCAATTTACAGTCCCCAGTCAAAAAAAGTAATGGAATTCCCCACCTTTCTGACAGAAAATTTGGGGAAGAAGTTTCCTATTGGATTTTGTAAGCCACTATCCTAAAAGCAAAGAATGCAACTGTGCTTGGTCTACCAGCATCAGGCAATACAAACTCATACAGGGTTAAGTCCTATGTGGTCCAGAAAAATTTACGTAGCCTTCCACCTGAAAGATTAGTAATGTTTCCAAAACAAAGGATCATTTTAGATTTTGCTTTGTGTGTGTGTGTGTGTATTCACACACATACATACATACATACATGTGTGTGTGTGTCATTTTCCACCAGGCATCATTATTTCATTTCTCATAATGGACAAAATCTATTCAGTGGTTTGCATATGATCTTCATCTATCTTGACATGTGCCATTTTCATTAGGCTGTTAGTAACAAATTAGGATTCAGTTCAGTGGGTTAATTGAATATTATTTGCAAAAGTTAGAGGTGGCAGGGATCAACTCTGTTCTGTTGCCTGTCTATAATATGTATTAATATTATCATTATAATATGATTATGTTGGCAACTGAATATATAATCCATAATTTAGCAGCTGAACCCTAAACAAAGGTGAGGGGGTTGAGACAGACCAGATATGGTCAGAGATAAGTTTGCATTATTCAAGTCAAGTGATGCAACAAGTCAAATGAAGATAAAAGGGTTCAAATTACAGATAATATCAACTCAAGTTATTTTCCCTATTAGGCTTATTGATCCCTCTTTCCCAGAATGAAGTAGGGATTCTCTGAAACAGATGGACAGAAAATGTCAACAAAAAAACCATCCCTGCTGCTTTCTTTCCTGCAAAGAACACAATACAGAACAAGAAATGGTGCAGAGTCTCAAAAAGGATGCCGGGTGAAGTGTTACCAGTATTAATGAAATGGCAGAATTATTATTGAAATACTCATCCTAGTCAGTGGAAAAGACATAGGTGGTAGACTGCAAAGCTTCCCAACCTTTTCCTTCATATTGACCACTATATCATTATTGAATATGACATGAGCCAAGGATCTACATATGATATGCCCCTAAACAGCATACCCAGTACAGTGGTACCTCGGGTCACGAACACTTCTGTTCACGAACAATTCAGTTCACGAACAGCACCGTTCGCAAAATTTTGCTTCCGTTCACGAACTCCGCATCAGGTGACGAACAGGATCCACGGCCATTTTCCCTGCCGTGACACATGGTCGTGGCTTCCTGTAGGGAGGGGGACTGTCCCTCCAAACAATAACCGCCTCCCCACCCGCCTTCCTGTCCTCCACACCAGAAGTCGCCCTGAGCAAGGTTAGTGT